GAGACTAAAGCACTCACTTACCGCAATTTTAACAAAGAAATTCAACGTAATAAGGGCGTGGTTTTTTCAGAGAGAAAATATCGCATTCGAGTGCAGTTTCGATATCAGTATCGAATGCAATGTTTTCTCTCTGAAAAAGCCACGCCTTTATTACGTTGAATTTCTTTTTTTAAAATCGAGGTAAGTGAGTGCTTCAGTCTCCTGACAACAGGATTGCGATCTCAAAATTGGAGAAAAATGACGAGTAGCTGAAAAAACGGAACCGATTGATGCGATATATCGCATGCCGTTCTGACACAAAATATGGCGTCCATCGAATCACCTTGATATACTTTTACACGATTCTTTTTTAGTGCGCAAATAAGTCCCAATCAGTGGCGTGGCGTGCTTTGCGATATATCGATTGTTATGCCATTTAAACCTATGGGAAAGGATCGATAAACAGGGTGTTCGCAGCGAACACCTTGACAATCGATTCTTTATCATAGGTTTAAATGGCATAAAAATCGATACATCGCAATTCACGCCACGCCACTGGTCCCAATGTCCGGAAGCCTCCGGGGATTTTGTCGTCCGGGACAGGGGCAAGCGTGAATTGCGATTTATCGATTGTTATGCCATTTAAATATATGGAAAAGGATCGATAAACAGGGTGTTCGCAGCGAACACCTTAATAATCGATTCTTTACCATAGCTTTAAATGGCATAACACTCGACATATCGCAAAGTACGCCACGCCACCGGTCCGGGACGGATCCGGGCCCTGGCAAAAATCGGAGAGCGCCAGTAAAGCAGGGGAAAAGAGAAACTAACCGATGCGCTGTTCATCAAAAATCAGCACCACGTTACATAGCACTCCCATTAATTCGGGAAACGGAATGAAAAAGTTCTCGCAGAATGAACATGGATCAAACGAGCTACCCCTGGACGTGGGTGCTTGGCGATTCTGCAAGGTACAAATAAAAAGAGGACTGCAAATCACGCTTTATTTGTTCGGTATTCCAATCCACACTCACCCGCGCCCCCTCCTCCTCAGCCCCCGCTTTTCTCTGCTCTCACCCTTGCCTTCGATCAATCGAAGCCTATGGCTTCACGTTGTTGTCGATTCATTACAGAGGAGTGTATCCAATTCCACTAATTCCTTCCGAATACCAAGTTCAGATTCAAACGTATGATGTAGTGCGAGCCGATATGCGATTCTTGCAAATTTCGAGTAGAATTAAGCGGTTCAACTTGTCGCTCCTCTAACGTAAAGGCGTATCTCGATTTCCAATTGGACGTATTTCTATCACACAGAACTATGTGCATTGTGACGTGAGACCTGTAGTGTATGTATTCTTATGGGTCTCAGGGCTCATGTCTTATTGCGCATAGCTCCGTTTGATATAAATACGTCCAATTGAGGCCTGTTTCACATTTATCCATGCTTTCTGGGGACCACGCGGAATTTGAGATACGTCCTCACTCACGCCAGAGGAGTAACAAGGTGTGGAGATGGGTCCTTAAAAAGGATTATACTGATACATCACTACAAAAAATACAAAAAACGAGAGAGACTATCTTGCGAGTTTTGTAAATTTTAAGGTGGGCTCCCCCTATTATAAAGTTTGTCAAAATCATAAAATTACACTTCCGTATTTTGTACTTTTTGCGGTGGCAAATCATTTAAATCTTTCCAGGGGTACACTGCTGAATTTTACTCGAAAATTGCTAAGACTGCCTCTCTGATGATAATTTTTCGCGGGATTCCTTAATTCCATTATTTGCGGCCTTAGTCCCGTTTATCGACCATGCCTCCAGCTGGTGCCCTCGCAGTCAGCATAAGTGTGCTTGGATTAACTGTACCGCACGCTGGTGCTATTACCTTTCTTACCAGTGCAACTATACTCTTATGGCTGGCGCCAAAATCAGCTGATTGTGATACTTTTCAATGCACTAGTCTTTCCCACAGCTCCCCATCAAGATTGACTTGCCTTGTTCAAATGCATTTATTTGAAAACGGATGGTGGCCCGTGAATACAAATACTTTCCTTTTATTACTACTGTATTTTAGTCGACAACTCAAGTGACCCGTGACTCTTACTCAGGACTCCTCGAGGAGCGGAGGTTTTCGCTTGGGTGTAAACTTTTAATCAAGCTTTATTCTCGGGACAGGATTGACGATCGAGGATTAGGGGAGAAAATGAAAGCCGCAGAAATAGTCAAAGCCGTCGGATTAAGAGGAGTAGGCGCCTGCGAACGAAAAGGAGACGGAGAGAGAGGTGCGAGGCGACGAGGATTTGAATGCGGCAGGGAAAAGAGGCTCTTGTCTCGTCTCTTGAGCTTCTCGCTCATTTCCGGCGTCTACGCCATTTGAGCGGGCTGCCATGTCGGGTATCTAGGATTTTGAACGAATCGCAGAGCTGAAAGAAGAAATAATTAGGTTGAAAACAGGGGCGATGACTGGACCTCAGGTTGCGCGGTTAATCAAAGACCGCGAATAATGCGGGTTATCAGAAATGGTCTAAAAAAAGTCACCTGGTTTTCTCTTAAAAATTTTACTTTAAAAAAAAAAATCACACAACAGAAAGCTTAGAGATAAACTCTTGAACAAGATATTAACGATTCTTTTATAGGCACAGATCAAGTGGAAGTTCGATTATACAAATGATATCGTTTGTATTTTTGCCATTTGACCAATTTAATAGAAAACACTTATATCTTGTTCAGGAGTTGATTTTCAGACTTCCAGTTGTGTGATTTATTTTAAGGAGAAAACGCATAGCGTTGCGATTTAATTCATACTTTGTCCAGAAGCCCACTTGAATAATCGAGGTTAATGAAATGTATAGGCACACAATTGTCTACATAATTTGCGCACTGCGCGTTGTGTTATTTCTCTAAAACAGCAGATAATTCAAGGAATCAAGTTGGTTGATTGGTAAATACATTTATTTGAAGGTGCAGAGGGAGATATTTGCAAGAAATGAAGGGGGAAAAAATTAACCTCTCGTTATAAATGAGCTGTTAGTTCAGTAACTTATGAAGATGTTTTGCGTGAAGGTATAGGAAGTCAGGGCGCCTTCATTTCTCTTGGACGCATCACAGACTACAGTAGAGCACAAATAGTTGTAGTCGTTCCTTCAAGTGTCACATCAATGTAGGGTTTTTCCGTTAAGGTATGCTGAGATTCAGCATGAATGCATGTGCTTTTCACCAATATTTATTAAATAATATGAGCATTTACGTAACTTTGTATGAGCTCCGAGGTTTTTCCTACCGTAAGGTGTATAAAATTCAATTAAAAAGAGCAGTTACTAATTCCGGAAATTAAAGTCATGCAAAATTTAGTATAGAGCTGAAGACCTTTGAAAATTACTTGAAAAAAACTATAGTCCTTCAACACATATGTTTCAAATACTTTTTTTTTTTTAGTTCTGAATTCTGATTGATGCGATTCGTGTAAATGTTCTTTTTCAAAAATCAGGTCAATGAGTTTAATAAGGATAAGATGTAGAATTTTCGAAAGATTGTAACTACGTTTATACAAAACGTTGAGATTTTTATTGGTTTTTTCGTAAACTTTTCTCCATAAAGCACCCCTTTAAATTTAAAACTTGAAATAAACATCTAAACTTTGTGTTTTAGTAAAAAAATGTATGTCCGACCTCCCTCATCGACTCGCTTCGCTGTGCGGCGCGCGGATTCAGATGAACTTTTTTGTGGCCTGGCATCCTCTGTGACGCCACCGAACTCGTTAAAATCGGATGACACAGAGAGACACAGATTGTACACGAAATACTAATCAACAAACATTATTCACTTTTTATGCCTCCTTTTTTGAGCTATGGTAGCTCGTGAGCTAAGGATCATCCTTGACCTAATTTTTTGTTCACCAAAAATCCAAAACACGATTTGTTTCTACGGAACTATAAAATGCGGATGTTCGAGGAGGAAGAAAAAACAAACCAAACAAAAAACAAATCGGCAACTTAAAATAGGTATGAATATTTTGAAGTCCTCGGCAAATGGCTCAGCTACAATATTCCGTAACGTATTGCTCACTGCCTTCAAAAACTTTCCTCATTGAAAATGTCTAACTCCAAGAAGACGGCGACAAAAAACGTAAATAAGGAGGGGAACCCGGATTTCTCACCTCTCGAGACCGCGCGAAGAATTTTAAAGTGCGTTAAAATTAGGGGCGGTTGTTAAATTCCTGTTAGACTTTTCTGTTTTTATATTTTTCCGCTTCGGAATATTTAAACAGGGGGCCACGCGCAGTCCATCCTGAATTCCGTGGATTCCGAAAGCGCTCTCTTTCATCACCTGCATTACGCAAAGTTCGGTTCTATGGCGCTCGTTTTATTAAAAAGTTTCAACTCCGCGTGTTTGAAAGATTCTACGTCAGCATTTCCACCACGTTTCTTTTTCCCTTTTTTTTGCCTTTTTCCACGTCTCCAGAAATTACCGTGCATATACAGACGCGCAAATACGACGAAAAGTTTAACTCGACATGTAGATCTTCTCTCTGAATATAGATCGAATAATGGAAACTGAGGGTGGAGAAATCTAATGAAACGTGGGCCCTAGGGCCTAGGCCCTGACCGCTAAGGAGCACAACCCTCGACGGGTGCTCCGCGCATTTGGGAAAGCTGCTGGTGCCGGTAAAAAAAAAAAAGAAAAATGAAGGAAAGAAAAATTGAGTCAAATGCAGCTAGTAGGTAGAAAATGCGGGAACCTACGTACGGCTGAGCTCCACACTCAATGGAGAGATAATATTCAAGAGATGCGAGGTGTAAGAAGCCTTGATTAGTACAGATGGACATACTGCACATAATGCATAGTGGCATAGTATACTGATAAATTTGATGATATGAGAGGTACGTCTAAACTCGGTTGAACTCTTCTCAAAAAATCACTTCGTAAGCAAATGTTGGATAAACAATGTTAGTGAACCCTCACACTGCAGACTTTGTGATAAGCCACTGACAGCGCATCCTCTTAACAGTCTCAACACTACACAGTCGAATCGAAATATATCTCAGTAATTGGCAAGAAAAATGCGTCTCCTATCAACTCGTTTATTGGTAACGCCAAGTCTCTGATAACACATTTGCTCCGACGGATAATTTTTAATTCAATAGCTCACAGTGTGCACCGAGCCAGCCCACTCCACTACAATTTTGCATTACTTTGCTTATGCAAGTCAGTCAGTGCATAATCTACCTTCTCACTTTCAAAATTTTACAACGACACCGGTCTCCTCTCCTCATCAACTACAACTTGTGAGTCAGATAATCACTATACTTTGACTGCATAAAATTGGGTTCCTGTATTGCCCTCCCCTGGTAAAAATTGGCAGTAGAATCTGTGTTCCAAAATATCATAGACCTACAGCCGGCTGTGAGATTTCCAATAGCTTCTATAGCCGGCAACACAATTTCTTATAGCCTTTTATAGCCGATAGCGATTAAGTAACAGCCTGGCGATAAAGTGTATGCAAAACGCCAGCGCTGAAGGCGCATTGGCGCCTGCAAACCTAACAGGGATACTTCCCGCATTGCGCAATGCGTGTAGTATCCTCTTAGGTTTGTAGGCGCCGGTGCGCCGCCGCTCCGCTTTGTATTAGGCTCTAATATTTAATCTGGCAAAGTCAGCGTTATTCAACTCATGATTTTGAAATGTTTGCACACTCTGTATGGATTATTCTTATTTCAATTGATGAAAACAAATATTTAGTAGGTAAAGAGAAATGTAATGTGCGTTTTGTAAATATTACGGTGATTCCGTACAAATTTAAGGATTTACAAAGCACAAGTATTTCTACTCAATTTCTTATAGCCTTTTATAGCCGATGGCGAAGAAGCAACAGCCAGGCGATAAAGTGTAAAGCTCGGCGATAGGAACTATAGCCCGGCTGTATAATTTTTTATCGCTTCGTGTAGCCCGGCCGTATGATTTTTTCTACTTTCTGTAGCCAGCTATATGATTTTCTATCGCTCTCTTCAGTCGGCTATAAGAACTCCTATGGTATTTTGAAACGCAGCTCCTATCGCCAATTTTTACCAGGGTCCGCTTAAGAGTTCAAAGTGGAAAAAATAGAAACCGAATTCATAGAGTCATGGAATGCAATAACAAAATCTACTTATTTTTCCCAAAAAATAAATGTTTAAATCGGAAGAATCAGTTCATCGATTGAGTTTATCATCAAAACCCAACCACTTGATAAAATACTTTATTTTCATTTTTCCTGAGAATTTTTCCCGCTAAATACGTATCTTTGAATTTCAGCTTCGATAGTTCCTCAGTGTAAAACCCACCTCGAATGTCTTCTCCGTTCAAGTCTTTCAACTTAAAAGTGACTGGTACGGTCTTTTGTACTTCAGCGATTTTGAATACAACTCACAATCAGTTGACCAGTTAGAAGTGTACGGCTTTTCGAAGATGTGTTTATAGTTTGAAATACGCACATAGTCTTCTATCTCAAACATCTTTGCCATTATCTTTTATTTCCTTTTTCCCTGACTCTCTCACTTGCCACTGTGTTTCAGGTTTTGCTGTTCTGCAAGTTACGCTTGTGGGGATTTGAACGACATTACTGCAAATGCAAGAGTGTGACCGATCAAACTCGGATCGGCAAGACTCCAACGCACTTGTCACACTTTTGTTCATTATTATAATACTACGTCAATAAAAAGATATAAGAATTTTACCCAAAACTCCCTCAGTGAGATTTCGAAAGTTGCTTTATCTAATGACACGTACCTATGCTCCGCCTTTGCAATTACGAATGAGCATAGGAAATAGAATTCTACAAAAATATGGAATATAGATTTCTTTCGCCGTCCCGTTACACTCGCGGAATCATGAATGTTTTGGGTCGCAAGATGAACGGGCTCATCGGCAATCTCGACAACACCAATAAAGACAGCTATTATGCGTTGTTGCACAATCCGGACAAAAGTAAATTTCTTTGGAGACGCAAGTTAAACAAGTGTATAGCCTTAGTGCTGCTATCATAACAAAAAACAAAGAAAACGAGAGGGGGTTTGGATCAAATGAAACACTTCTTGCAAATAAACTGGCAATTGTTAAAGAAGCTACATGTCCAACGATTCTCTTGAATCGCGGTAACTAATTGATATTAAGCACTCCACGGTAGAACGTATAACTCTTACGTTAGTAAAGAATAAAAATTAAAGTATAAAATGATTTTGAATTTTGTGACCACATTGCAGATCGCAATCGTAATAGTAACCACGTCTTATTAACAACTAGTGAAACCTTTGAAATGTAATCGAAACTTTATATTTTTGTTAGAACCTGTAGTTCCTTAATTTTTTCGCAACATGATGTCAGACCTTTTCTTTCTCAGCCAAGTTATATTTGTGAAATAATTTAAGAGAATATTTGTAATCAATTTATGGGGGTTGTTATGTCAGAGGACGGTTCCTCCCTTTTGTAATTTATTACAATAAAGAATAAAAAAACCGATTCTCTTGCAACAAACATTCATTTCTATACCATTGAAATTATGGATTATATGATTAGTTACCTATAGTTTACAGTTTTTGCATATTTTGACCGAACTCGAAAATTCAATTTTATTCTGTAATTTAGGAGAACTGGCCTGCCCACCGGTCCGCGCACAAGCTCTGATAAAACAAACTCTGAATCGACCGCTCTGACCCGTCTGTTCGGTTGAGCACCGAAATTGAATTTGACAGAAATAAATTAACCGGAATGAAGCTATAGTCATATCTTTGATAAAAGTATAGTTAATGTTAGTCCAAAGCTTAATCAGTCACACATTTTCTCTAAAAATTATTTATACTGAATTGTACTTTTTACATTGGAAAAATAAACCTTATTTTTAGCAGAAAAATATATTCGGTCATCAGTACCACAAAGAAGAAATAAAAAATCTGCACCAATACCTCGTCAAAAACGCCTGAGTGAATGTCGCTCCACATGGGAGTAGCCAAAAGCGCTCTGAGGAGTAAATCGTCCTTCTCTGTCATTTCTGCCATCATAATAAATTCCCAATACCTCACTGCAGATCGGTCTCAGGCGATGATAATTGATAAACACTGAGAAAAAGTTGCCCGCAAAATTCTCGCGAAACTTCATTTTCAACTTCGTTGCAACAGCGTCTGAAAAAACTCTTCTTGTCGAATGCTCGAATTCCGTTGCACTTTGAATTTAATGATTGTAGGTGACACGAGTGAAGAATTCACCGTTCATTGACACAATAGCTTCAGACACATTTTTCGAGTTTAATCTCACAACGTTCATAAGTCAGCCTAAGTTTAAGATACTGAGGTATACGTTTCATCATGAGGGCTTAGAATCGTTAATGTTCGACTTTTAAAACATCACAAACGATTTGAGAAGTTGGCTCTAGAAATATTATAATTCCAGGCAAATAAAATTGTCTTTTCTTCTTATTTTTTTAAAAAAAAAAAAATTAAACGGAATTCATTTCGGTGGTAAAGCTCTGATAATGCATATATTTTCACGAATCTTAGAAACTCTACAGTTGCTATGTGAGGGGGAAGATTTCAAAAAATATATTACACTTTATAATTACTAATAATTCAACTGACGAAAGAATAGCATTAATAAAGATTATTGATTTTACATTGATTTTCGAAGGTGTTAAATAATTTTAAAGTAAAATTAAGAAGACTATCATTAGAATTCTTAAAATATGCATAATCCTAAACGCATAAAAGAACAAGGAACGCTGGAAAATTTCTGAAATTGATAGCACGTTGAGGTCCCTCGATTATAATTACTCTCAGATGAAGCGATAAAAAATTTGCGTGCAAATCTTCCATTGGGAAAAAAAAATTCGGCAATCTCGCAGACTATTTTTGTTTTTTGAAATCACAATTATGTCGAAACCACAAAAATGAACATAAAGCTTTTTAATCAGAAAAATCGTAGTATTTGATAAAAGTATACAACAACGAAGAAATTCCAATCTATAAGTTTAGGTATGCTAAAAGAATTGACATTGTGTCCATTGCCTTTAAAGCTGTCTGCAACAGCTCAGGTGCAATGGTTTTTTTCCCCACGTTATCGCTGGATAAAAATAACGCATGTACTCATGTACCGTTGAGGACGGGGTGATTCTTGTCAGTGGCGAGGCGTGAATGATCGATTATCGATATTTCTCCATTTAAGACTATAGTACAGAATCGATTATTCAGGTGCTCGCTGCGAAAACCCTGTTTGTCGATCCTTTTTCATAGGTTGAAATGGCAGATCAACCGATATATCGCAAAGCACGCCACGCCACTGATTCTCGTTAGTAGTAAAGTAACGCAGGGTTGCACTCATTTAAATGTACTTAAAACAATCGATGTCGATCAAAGTAAGTCACCTCGCTTAGTATCGATTATTTATTACGGATTTAAATGAGGGATGAACATTGTTACCGCACGAGAACTGCCACTGCCGCCAGACGGCAACAATGATCGATGAGTCGAATTTTCAAGAAGGCCTAAACACACATGGCACGGACTTGGGCGCGCAGGGATTTCCAAAGAAGGTGAAAAGTTCGGGGAATCTGGATCGAGTTATTCGACGAATAAGGGAGGATAGGGGGTGAAAGTTACCTCGTTTTTACGCCAGGTGCTGACGATCTTCGGAATAGCAATGAGGCCCAATGTTCCCGCTCGAAACCTGCAGTGTCAAACTTTAAAGAACGAGAGAAAAAAAGAGAGACGATAATAATCAGTAGCCAATGCCTTGGCCGTGCGTAGATTTGCTTCAAAGAGACAATACACCATGCATCTTTGATTTGAGGGGTCGGGACGTTAAGAGAACGTTTTCTGATATAATTTTCTTTTCTGCCTGTATTGCTATGCAACTTGGTACTTGCTGGAATATCCACTGGTCATAAGGTAAAATATCACTAAATTAAATGAGGATAAATAGTAACATTCTGTCGAAAAAAACAACTAACCCAAAACCATTTTTTATTGAAATGAAATTTTGAGAGACTGTATAGTGATGTTAAATGAAATCCTCTGAAATCAGAACATTTCCAAAGATAACAAAATCGGTATTTACAACGTTGTGATCAAAAGTATTCTTACACATGGATGTGAAGTTTGGCAGCTGGAAAAACAGACACAGGGTATGCTAAGGGCAACGGAAATGGATTTCTGGAGGAGGTTGGCAGAAATTTCTAGAAGGGATCGGGTCCGCAATGAAAGCGTGCGTCAGATCATGGAAGTTGAAAATGACATGGTATTTGACGTCATGACCAAACAGTTTGTCTGGTATGGTCATGTTAACAGGATGACGGAAGATAGGATGCCGAAGAAGATGTTTGATTGGGTTCCTCCTAGGAGGAGACAAAGGGGACGCCCAATGGCGACGATTGGGGGTTTAAAAAAAAAAAAAAAAACAAAAGACTACCAACTGCCTGGAGGGCATTGGAAGGATGGACAACTTTGGCGGTTGCGTTTCGCAGAGCGCCAAAAAGTGAGGTAGCCTTTATGTATGTAAATTTTAAGGGATTAGGTAAAGAAAAGAGGGGGAAAATGGGCCTTTGTGGCACTGAATCTTCTTTAAAATTTCTTTGAAAAGATCACCTACCACCAAGCGATCCTTGAGGTTCCTCTGATTCCAGAAATTTTCTAGCGTTCATTGTACTTTAGAGTGTTTCAGATTCATAATATCATCCCCCTACAACAAACAAATTCTTTCGTGCGCAATTTGCCATCTTAAAGCTCCACTGTGCCTGATGCAGAACAAAAATACGTTCATAGGTAGTGAAACATTCTATACCGATGAACTAAGCTATAAGCAGTCACGAAATCGATCAGCTCGTTATCAGATAGTCTGATCGGCGGGAGGGAGGAGAAACGAACCGCACTTTTTAGCAGAAAAATCCCTCTCGGGTAGTCCTAACCGCGATGGTGGGAGTGGCGACCGGGCAACAGAACCGTCACAAAACTTCGCGGCATGGTGAGGCATGGATGCCGATAAATCGAACGTGAAGCAACGAGTGCACCGCAGAGGAGGCATCGGTGGTGTTCAAACTGTCGCCTGATGAGGAAAATGCTCTGGCGAGGTGACGGTTCGTGACGTCACTGTCCGTCGAGTGACGCAATAATCCTCGTCATTCGCCGACCCCGGCCCCGGTGTGCTATTGCGAACAATGGTGTATTACTCGTGTATCGACGCTCGAATCCGTTTCCGTTATGGTCCATTACGGATCTCACTGATGTCGCTCGAAAGAACCTCGGTCCGTTGTGGTAGAGTACCTTTAGAGCGAGAGTATGGTTGCTGTGGTTTTCGCTCAGCCATCGTGCGTCAGGAGTTGGACGCCTCGTTATCTCTCTTCACCTCCAGTCCCATCCAGTCACCCCCAGTCACCCCCAGTCACCTCCAGGCACCTATGGTCACCACCTCTGGTCACCACCTCTGGTCACCACCTCCGGTCACCTCCAGTCACCTCCAGTCACCTCCAGTCACCTCCAGTCACCTCCAGTCACCTTCAGGCACCTCCAGTCACCTTCAGGCACCTCCATTCACCTCCAGTCACCTCCAGTCACCTTCAGTCACCTTCAGTCACCTCCAGTCACCTTCAGTCACCTTCAGTCACCTTCGGTCACCACCTCTGGTCACCTCTGGTCACCTCCATACACCTCGAGTGACCGCCTGCGAAGGATGGCATTCCCGAAACTATGCCTTTGTTTCGCTTCCCTGCTCTGAACTGAAACTCATCAAGACTGACATCATAGTCACTTGCGCTGGTTTCACATTATAATTTAGTCATTTTGTGCTTACCTTGGTGTTAAGTATGTTCAAATGGAAATGCTACATGGCGATCGACAAAAAAATCCTTTTTAAACGTCGATTCTAAACAGAGTTGCACAAGCGAAATGAAACTCATGTAGAAATTTCCGGGAAATATTTTATGAAATTTTACAAAGCTATTATAAATATGAAAAATGTCTTCAGGGACTGGGTATGCAACACGCGCTAGAAGAGCACTAAAAAGCGAAACTCCCTAATTTTTGCATTTAAATTCGAAAAAGATAATTCAATATCTTCATAGACTGAAATTTCATGAAATATTCCACGTGAAACGATACTTTATTTTTGTTAACAGTTACGATTCTGATTCGCCAGGCTCTCGTCTGTAATCAATATTTATTCCTAATTGATTGACATTGAGAAAAAACACCGTTGCCAACTCGCGCGCATCGCATTCGTTCGACGTTCGGAGCAAATTTTTAGTGAGACAGCGCTTGTAAAGGATAGAAACTTCTTTCCTATAGTTCTTAGACTAACTCTCAAAGTTCACTGCTTGCCTTAGCAGCCACAACTTAACTCAAAGTGTCGTGTGTCGGGCTATCATAGTGCGGGCTCTTTCCTTATCACCGTCCTCTCATAATAAATCACAGAGAGAAACTTTTTATCGTGTTCCAGGCTGCACTACTAAAGCATTCAGTTCTTATTTGTTCAATTTTAGTTGGGCGTTGAGGGATGAAGATACTATTTCCCATCCGCTGGGAGTTTGGAGGTCCTGGATATTGCTGAAAGGCTTTCGAGGAACTCCTGCTTGCTTGACGCACATTTTACAAACTCAGCCTCATGAAGGAACCAATAGAGAGGACTATGTGATTCTTAAATTTGAGAAGAACCCAGATGAATTTTTCCGGTATCGTTGCCAGCTTCAGAAACGAGTCATTTTAAACGCTTAAAATATCATCAACAATACTAATTATGGCTTTAATCGGAAGTATTT